CATACGTCTTCTGCTTCATCAGCAACAACTCATTCATCCTCCACGGCGGACCTCGAGTATCCCTATATCCCGAAGCAAAACTGGTCCAGCGAAGGGTCAACAAACTCCGTCCCGTCGCTTCTTCATTCAATCTTACCAATCAACCCCGCATCGAGTGTACCAACGCAAAAACCTGCGGATCTGAACACAGATCGATTATCACAGCTGGCCATTCGCTCCGCTTTCAACTACCCAAGGCTTGGCCTCGCGGAGCAAACGCCCTATTTGAGCGAATCTCATCTGCCCATCAACCCAGCAATCCCCAACAATGCCTTGACATCAGTATGACAGTGGATGGATATTAGAAACTAAAAAAAAGCCCTTCTCGCGACTCAGCATTTCTTCACAATGATTTAGCCAGGCCTCAAACCGGAGGTCTCAAAGCGCTCGATACCCTTGATAACACGTTTTTGCTTGCGCTGTACAGTTACCCCGTTGGCGTCTTTTCCCATATTTTCCCATTCGTCCATTCGGACGAGACTCCCGCAATAAGTCGATAAAGGCGAATCCGGAGTTATGGTTCCTACTGTTCAGTCTCTTCTCGGTACGGCTCTTGCGCCATTGAATAGAAAATGGCAACTGTTGCTCATGCTTTTTTTGGGCTAGCAGGGTATATGGAAGTTGAAACTTCTACTTCCCAGAATAGGACCTCCTTTGTCTGAGTACGACTTGCGATTTAGAGAGGCATCTGCTAGGTCCTCATTTACGATCTTCTCATGATATACGAATGGCGGATATCATCTCATGCGTTTTTCCCTCTTCAAGTTGGTTCCAGTGTATACTTTGCCGATGTCCGTATCGTTTTTCTCTTTCGCAAAGCTGTATTTATTCTATGAAAAATTTAATTGACACCTTTTTTGCAAATATCGGTCATGCAGGATGCGGGTATGTCACGACGGAGCTGATGATTGTTCCCTGGAAATCCTTTTCGCAACGCATTGAGCTGTCCTATATGCTTTGCGGTCGCTGTGGGACTACCTCATCCGGTGAAGCTGTTTATTTGCAGCCTCGGCCTTGCCGCATGCTTCCTCCCAGCTGATAATAAAAGAATCTCGCGGATGGACTTATACCATGGGGCGTATGCGCTCGCTCGGCTGTCCACGCGACAAGTTATCTATGCACCTCTAACCACTGCGCTACGGGCCAGCCTCCAGGAACGCCTCAAAGTTCCTCCGCCACGGCTGCACATCCTGTCCCAGACCACGGCCGATCAGGACGATCTTGCACTCGCCTTCGCCGCTTGTCTTTGGCTCCGAGTCTCGGATCTCGAAGACATCCCGGACAGCCTGGATGATCTTACAGGACCCGTCCTGCAGGACTAGAATACCTTTCAGACGATGGATCTCGAAATTATTGAGATTGGCAGTATCTGTATTGTCCGTCACTGGGATCTTCGATTCCCATAGGACGGACTGGAGCCAGGCGTCTACCCGTGAGACCTTGTCGGCGTGTATAGGGGGTGTGATTATGGCGATTGTTGATATTGCCTGGTAGGATATTAGCGGATGGTCAACTGGTGCGAGATCGAAGGTTGTGGGCAAGTGTTACCGGGTCAATGTGACTGTGTCCCTTGGCTCCAAAGTCCAGGCTATCCAGGTGGTCGTAGGCATGGAGATCCAGCACGACGCCCTCAATCTGTGGTGTCCTGCTGTGGTCTGTGACATGGATCTTGGCGACGCTGTTGATCGCCAGAATGCGGGCGCGGACCTGGTCGAGTTCCTCTTGGGTGACGAGGTCCGCCTTGTTCAGGATGATCACGTCCGCGTGCGAGATCTGCATGTGCGCCATGGAGAGCACAGGCCCCGAGTGCCTGTGGCCCTCGTTCTCCTCTCGGTCGGTATGGCTCGATGCGGTTTCCTCTGGCGCGGGCTCGTCCAGAAGACGGAGGATGTTCTTCGCGTCGACTAGCGTGACGATCCCGTCAAGGTAGATGGAGCTGCCGAGGTTATCGTCTACCCAGAAAACGGGCGCGATGTTGCCCGGGTCGGCGAGCCCGGTTGTCTCGAGGAGGATGTAGTCGAATGTCCCCCGGCGCTCCATGAGTGACTCGATGGCCATGACGCCGGAGTCTCTGGCGACCGGCTGCTCAGCCACGTTGTCTTTGAGAGCTGAGGGGGGAGCACTGCTTACTTGACGGAGCAGCAGATGCAGCCGTTTCCGACTTCCATCCACTCCGTGACTTCTTGGCCGTCTTGGTTGACCGTCAATGGCTTTTCGATGTCCGTCGCTGAGGTTGAGTTAGTTTACTGGCTGAACTAGCTTGTCTCCCGCCGTGCCAACTTACAGTTCCCGAATTCTAGAAATACATATCAGTCACGTTTCTTCCAATGATCCTGGTCGACAAACCGTTCATGATCACGGCTATCTTTTTGCCGTGTTTCACACTCAAGATGTAATTAAGCAGGGTAGTCTTGCCCGCACCGAGATAGCCTTGTCGTTTGTGAGTCTCGCGCATAAAAAGTCCATCTCTGATAAAGTTGTACCAGTTACCAAAGTGATAGGCACGCGATCCTGTGCCGACGTGTCTAATGTTGTAGATGGTGTCTTGGAGATATTGGGCTTTTCCGAGTCTGGCAGCGCGGATACATCCACCAGCTCTGGGGGAGCATCATCATCCTCAATAACATCTGCTGGCATGATTTGATTTTAAACTGAAAGCCTCAATCAAACGGTCTATGAACTATGAAGCAATCAACGTCAGGTACCTTATTTCTGCGGGGAAGAATGACGTCTGTTCCTAGAGCGGATGCAGATTAGGGCTCAGGGCTTCCCCGGTCATGGGCTTCGGGCTAGGGTAGCCTTAGAGCCTTAAGGTTCCCCGGCGGTGGTCCTGGCCCATCGAGCTCCGCAGCAGCAGCTCTCCATCAATCATCGCCAGCATCAGTGTCTGGTGGCCGCCGTCATTGCAGTGACAGGCCGTGCCTTTCGATTTCGAATTTCTTCTTGCTCATCATGGCTGCCGCTGGGGCGTCGCCGTCCAGCTCACCGCGCTTACCTAGTCCTCCCCCGTTCACGGAGGTACAGATTGGGCCGAAGTCACCATCAATCGGCGAGTCGTTTGGGAAAGAGACGGAAGAATTGCTGGCTGCTTCAAAGGGCAATGATGATGCTTCTTCTCGGAGGATCCGACCAGGAACTAAAGCGGCTGATATGGCTGTCGGTCCTCCTTTGATTCCTCTATCGCAGGTGAGCTCATGTAAACAAACGGGTCAAAGGTGTTACCTCCGCTAACCAGGCGCTCTGTTGCCCAACAGCTCGACTCCCCGTTCCAGCTCCAAGAACACCTGAAAGCGTTATACAACCACTTCACAAGACCGGAGGGATCTGAGACCGTCGTGCCTATCAGTCGAGATGTCGCGATACAGCTTGCGCAACCGCCCGAGGGGGTGGACAGGTCCCTCTGGCTCTACGAACTCTGTCGTTTCCTGACCATGAAAGTGAATAACCTGATCGTTGCTTTCTTCGCCGAAGACCCGCCCTGCTCCGCGCAAACGTGCCCTGAGATGCGTGCATCCGAGTGGCAGTATCTCTGCGCCGTCCATGACCCCCCGAAATCCTGCTGCGCGATCGACTACTGCTGCCATACGCTCGACTGGGCCACCAACATCCTCACTTCTCCGAAGCATTTTCCAAGTCGTCTTACGATGGGCTCCGAGGCGGGCGGTGGGCCGCAGGCGAGTCTGAGGTACCTGACCAACATATTCCGTCGACTGTATCGTATCTTCGCCCATGCCTGGTTCCAGCACCGGGATGTCTTCTGGCAGGTTGAGGGCAATGATGGGTTGTACATATTTTTCAAGACGGTGTGTGATATGTACAAGCTTATTCCTGAAGACAATTATACTGTGCCTGCTGAAGCGGAGGGTCTCGATGCCAATCAGTCCATGCAGGAGCAGGTGGACGAGCGTCGGATGACGATTCTACGAAAGGAGGGCGAGGGCTCGCTGGAGAATATGGATCCCTCGTCCATTAGCACTGGTGCAACCACCCGGCGCCACAAGAATAACCCGTCCATCAGTTCTCGCGTTACGACGATCAGTGAGGGTGCTGAGGAATCGGAAGAGCAGCAGAAGACGGAGCCTGTGATGGAGTCAAAGGATGGGGAATCCAACGAGGCCGTACCCGAACTCGAGTCTGAAACACAGCCCGCGGAAGAGGTTGCAAGTGAAGAGCAAAAGGAAGCCGCCGATGCACCCGCGAAAGACACGACCGAGTCGCAGGTCACCGTTGAAGAGGTGCAAGAGGACGAAGAGGGGAAGCCGTCAGATACGATTACAGAAGCAGCAGCAAAGGATGAGCAGCAAACCGTCCAGCCACCTGAGGAGCCGGAGGCACCCAAGGCCGAGGAGTCGCAAGCAGACACACAAATCAGTGCAGAAGACAGCACAGAAGCAATCGAAGAGGAAAAGCCCTCGCCTGTAGAGGAAGCATCCACTGAGCAAAGTCAGCAAGAGCCTGAAGATAAGCAGACAACAACCGAGCAAGAGCGCGAGTCAGTGATGGAGTCGGCCAAGGAGACTTGAGATCATCTTTGTCCGAGGTTTATTTTATCTCTTTGATGCGATGCCCACGCCTTTTTCATGGTACTCCCACACGGACTTGAGCCAAGTGGAGGCTCAATCGACATGTAATATACAATTTGAGGCTGTCTAGAAAATTAATGATACCCATTATTTTGCAGAATGCCATCAGCATGGCCTTGCTGTCTTACTTAGTATTTGTGTACCAGATACTCAGGATGATTGATGAAGGCTTCGATAACGATAAGCCAGCCGGTCCCGCTATCAAAGCAGGTTCCGCGCAGCTTCTCCGACTCGACTCCGCATCATAGCATCCACTCTCGAAAGGGATCCCTCTTAATCTTCCCCAAGCATACACTCAATCTATTGATCAGCTCATTTCCCAAAGATCAAAAAAAAAAAAAAATAGGGTTCATGTCCGTCCGAGACCCGGTCCCCACCATGTCCGCCGCCGTCAAGGGTGCCCAGATCTACTTTGGTCCATTCCTCGTCACCTCCCAGGTATCCCTCGACTCTCCGGATCATCAACGCCAGACACACTGACACCATCCACAAGGTCTTCCACATCACGCCGCTCTCCTTCGCCCTCGTAAACCTCAAACCCATCCTCCCGGGCCACGTCCTCGTCTCCCCGCGCCGGCGCGTCCCCCGCGTCGCGGACCTGACCGCCGCCGAAACGGCCGATCTCTTCCTCACCGTGCAGCGTGTCGGCCGGATGGTCGAGCGCGTGTACGGCGCGTCGAGTCTCAATATCGCTGTTCAGGACGGGCCGGAGGCGGGCCAGAGCGTGGCGCATGTGCATACGCACATCATCCCGCGTAAACGGGCGGATCTGGACCTGTCTCTTATACCACTCTGACGCTGCCCACGCACCTACTGCGGTATATCTCGGCTGACGC